TCTCTCTCTCTCTCTCTCTCTCTCTCTCTCTCTCTCTCTCTCTCTCTCTCTCTCTCTCTCCACCTCTTCGTTCATCCTCATTTCAAAATTTCTCCTCCAGGTCAACATCCGGAGCAAGAGGAGGTATTCAGTACTATTCACACTGAATTCAGTGGATTCAAAATCACTCTTGTAGCCTCTTTCAATCCACTGATTCAGTGTGAATATCAATCCCCAGTTAATAAACGAAACTCCGGAAAACTCGAAACAGACCGTAGCACATTTGAACATAATTTCTTCATGTCACCAAAATTACTTCAAAATGAACTAAAAAATTATGTCCTCCGCCCTCCGAACTAAATGGCATAAAACAAAATCATGTTTAAACCACCGCTCCATCCAGAGCTATTGTGACAAACCAAAAGTTGCCTTTCCCCTAGATTAAGATCTACAGCACGCTGAGCACGGCCCTGAGGAAAGATAATTGTGGTCCCAGGCCTGGGCCCGGTAGATTTTGAACCGGTACTTGTGGACGAAAAAAAAGGAACAGTGCGGGGGCCGTTGAAGTGGTGGTTTAAGGATCCATCGATGTAGAGATGCAAGCAAGTCAATGCCGCTGAATATATAGATCAATCTACCCTTTTCGGCCAGGGTTCGAGCCCATGATCTTGTGTCTTGCATGGATAAGCGCTTTAAAAAAACATAGCCATTTTGGTCTCTCATGGAAAGCACTGGAAATGCATACAGCTAGATGTGAATCTACCAGCATTTCCTGGTGGAAGCGCAGGAAACACAATCTACTACATGTGAATCTGCTAGAAACACAATCTACCAGCAGATTGTGTGTCTACTATAATATCAATCTACTAGAAACACAATCCATTAGCAAGAGTACTTGAAAGTTACGCGGATTCGCCTTCTGCTAGTCTCCTGGTGGCTCTTCAAGATGTCTAGCTATCAGCACAGAGCAAAGAGCATTGTGCAAGCAGTACATGCTGCAGCTCCCCAAGAAAATCCTGTAACAAACAGAAGACATTTAAATGTGAAACAAGAACGACAACGATGACTACAATGACGACTACAGCAACAACAACGGCAACAAGGACAGGAGTAAAAGGAGGAGGGTCCGGTAGGAGGAGGAGGAGGAGGAGGAGGAGGAGGAGGCGAAGGAGAAGACGATGGAGGAAGAGGAAGGGAACAAGGAGCAGGAAAACAGGAAGAAGAAGAAGAGGGAGGAACAGCAACAGGAGAGGGAGAATATGCAGGCGCAAAACAAGGAGGAGGAGGAGGAGGAGGAGGAGGAGGGTGAGGGAGGAGAAGTAGGATAAGGAGGGTGAGGGAGGAGAAGGAGGAGGAGGAGGTGGAGAAAGAGGAGGAGGAGGAGGCGGCGGCGGCGGAGGAGGAGGAAGAAGAAGAAGAAGAAGAAGAAGACGAAGACGATGACGATGACGATGACGATGACGATGACGACGACGACGACGACGACGACGACGACGACGGCGAAGAAGAAGAAGAAGAAGAAGAAGAAGAAGAAGAAGAAGAAGAAGAAGAAGAAGAAGGGGGAAGGGGGAAGAGGGAGGAGGAGGAAGAGGGGAGGAGGAGAAGGAGGAGGGGGGAGAGGAGGAGGAGGAGGGGGGAGAGGAGGAGGAGGAGGAAAAATGAAGATCAACCATAGACAGACAAAAACATAAAGCAAAGACAGACGGGCGTCACAGCAGAATGGTCACAGTCCTTAGAAGAGTCAGAAATTCTCAGAATCATTAGAATGAAAACAGCTGTCTGAGCATCCCTTATAAATTGCCTTGATAAATTTGTTCTCTTCCTATTTTGTTTCGGTCAAGTTCTGTCTATCCGTTTGATTTTTTGTTTGTCCGCCCATCAGTCCGTCCATAAATCTGTTATGTTCTGCGCGCATCAGCCCATCCATCCCTTGGGTAGGAATACCGACACTACGTCAGAATGTCCGCAGGCGGACACTTTCTCGCATAGCCACTCAATAAGTTGGTTGTTCACTCAGCCCCAATGCTCACTCCCCCCCTCCCCCCCTTCCCCCCTCCCCCCTGCCATGCAGACCAAACATGCATCATCATCATTCCATGGTGTGAAGGGGTCTGGCGCTCACGCAGGAAGAATGCGCCAGTCCCCCACTATACACAGACGAAGAAGAGCGGGGTTAGACGAAGAAGAGGGGAAGATGGGAATGTCGTCAACACCAAGTCTTCGGTACAGTCCCAAATAATCCCTCGTCAAATGTCTGAATCCCAATGTCGAGTCTGGATCCAAATGTTGTCAAATCCCAAAGTCACCAGTCTCTCTCTCTCGTAGTCGGCAGATACTGAGAGCGAGAGAGTGAGGAAGAGATGGTGGACTTAGAAGAGGAAGAAGAACTCTCTCTCTCTCTCTCTCTCTCTCTCTCTCTCTC